CTAATATATGATCTGTATATATATTTATATATATATATATATATATGTGTGTGTGTGTGTGTGTGTGTTTAATATTGATTATAAATAATTATGTACATTCTTTTGAATTATTGTATTTATTGGATATTGTTCTTACTCCTCGTTTTTCTTTGTTTTTTTTTAAATTAAATATATTACAAAATATATGGATCTACTTGGGATTCCATATCATTTTGCAATGGTTATTGCTGCTATTTTTCTTGGAAGGAATTAGAATGTAGAGGCTGTTTGATGGATCTTTTTATTTCAATTGTAAATTTATTTCTACTATCAATATAAATATTGTAATAGAAGTGGAAGAAAGAAATAATGTGTAAAATAGTACATTATTGCAAATATTATCTGTAAAAATATTTCATTGTTATCACGTATAATATTATTAATAATATATTTTTATTTTCAATATATATATATATATACACGTATAATACTGGTATTTATAAATCGGGCGTTTCAAAAGGGAAGAGAAAAAAAATAAAGATGAATAAAAAAATTTTGAGGGAGAAACAAAGGCTTTCAAAGGGAGTAACAATAAATAATATTAAACTAGCTTTTATTGAAAAAATGAAAAATAAAAAATAAAAAATTATTTATGTTGGTGATAGGATTCAAACGTAGATATTTCTCAATAAAAATCTACATAAACTAAATAATAAGGATTCATTTGGATAGACAACTTATTCAAAATCTTATTTAATAATTTTTTATTAAATAAGAACTTGTGTTATACGTACTTAAAATTTATTAAGTTGTTTCAGTGTTGTTGCAATTGGATATACATGTTAACAAGCACTTTTATAATTTTAAATTGTTTGGGTATATTATTATTTAAGCACTTATAAGATGTTATTTCATTTTAAAAATTAAAAAATTATAAATTAAATTTTAACTAAAAATAAAATAAAAAATATAAAAGTAACTAAATAATTTTTAAAAAGAATATTATACATAACAATACTATTAAAAAAATCATTAGTCATCATTCACTTAATTTTAGTTTATAAAACAATAATATTATTAATAAAATAAAAAAAATTTATATAAATAAAAATGATTAAAAATTAAAAATCATAAATTTTTAAGAAAATTAAATCAATTCTGTATACTTTATAAAATTCTGATTAAAAAATCATGGTATAAATATCACAACAAAATTATTCAAAATGCGCTAATTTAAAAGGGGGAAAAAGTCACAAGATTTTTTTTTTATAATATGGGAATGTAGATTTTGGAAGGGAAGAGATAGAAAAAAAAAAAAGTTGAAGGAGAAAAGAAAAAATAAAGAGGAATAGAAACTATTGGAGAGAGGAATGAAAACATTTGGAGGGAGTAACAAAAAAATTATAAAACTGACTTTTAGTGAAAGAATGAAAAAAAAAAATATATTTACGCGTTGACAAGATTTTGGATATTTTTCAATAAATTTTTGTATAAGCCGAGAAATAAGCTATAATGAAAAATTTATCAAAATAAGCTCAAAACATCTTATAGGTTATTTGTAAGATATTTTATAAGTTTTTTCAAACATTCTTTCAAACACTTATAAAATAAAATAAGTAAAAATAAGTTGTTTATGAGTTTTTTCAAACAAGTTTAAGCTATATTGGACAACCTATTAAAATAAACTCAAAACATCTTATGAGTTACCCATAAGATATTTTATAGATTTTTCCAAATACACTCTCATAAACACATATAAAATATGATAAGTATAAATAAATTATGTTTTATATTAAATTTTAATAATTTAACTGTTAATTACAAGTTTTTAATATATAAATCATAGATTAAGTCTACAAATTTTTATAAAATTTAAAAACTATTTAATACTTCGTTATAATAATTCAAATTGACATATATTTATAAAACATTATACATATATAAATATATATATATATATATATATATATATATGTATATACATATATACTTACATTATCCATATGTGTGTACACATATAGGAGAAAGATACACTTATTTCAAAAATTACTTGAGTAAAATTATTTTACTCAACAAATCATGATTAATACTAATTTTCAAAGACCTTATCATTCAATAGAAAATTCTTAATGAATATATCAAGTTTATACATTCTTACAAAGTTTGAAAATTCTATGATATTTCGTTATATATATATATATATATATAAATTAATATTTAATATATTTTTATGAATATGCATCAATTTAAATTAATGTGAAGAAGTATTAAATAATATTCAAATTTTAAAAAAATATAAACTAAATATATTCATTTAAAACTTTTAATTTAATGGTTTGATCATTAAAAATTAATGTTAATTAATAGTGACTTTGTTAGTAAGTGAGTGAAATAATTATACAAAAAATTATTCTTAAAATAAGTGAATCTATCTCCATATTTATTAAGGGTGTAAGCGGGTTGGGTTAGATCAGGTTTGGATAAACCCGTTACCCAACCTGGTCAAAATTTAATAGGTTGGGTTGGGTTGAATTTGTGCAATTTTTTTTAAAACTCAATCCAACTCATCCCAATACGAACAAGTTGGATTGGATTGGATTAATCGGGTCAACATAATTATATTTATTTATTTATTATAAAAATTTAAATATTTCAAAATAGATATAAATTATTTGATATATTGTTATAAATTCTATGTTACCAACCTATATAGCAATCAATGATGCAAATTAAATTCTAAAATAAATTTACTAATTTGTTACATTATTATCAACTCAAAAAATAACATTAATTAATACAAAATAAAATTTAAAATAAATATACTATATTATTACAATACTATCAACAAAAAACATAAAATTTATTACTAAGTAAGTGTGAGAGTGAAAATTATTATAAATAAATGATCATTCAAATATTATTATTATTATTATATTATCATCGAGTCGAATTGGGTCAATAACAAATTAAAAACATAAAATTCGTTATCTGACCCGTATAATACCAAGTTTTGATCAAGTTGAATTGAATCTGACTTAAACAATAAAAAAATATAATTCAAACTTATTAGATTGGTTTAGATCAATTCAAATTCATGAATTATCTATACCCATTTACATGTCTAATATTTATAAGTCGCATATCAAATGAAAACATGTAATAAAAAACAAAGAGTAGTAAACAATAAACTTAATATTACAAATAAAAAAATAAACATATAAAATTAAAACTCAATCATATATACTGTCAATAAAATTATTATTATTTTCTTATCTGCAACTATAAAGATTTCCATCACACATAATTATATTAATCATCTCGCTTATCATTATTACACTCACAGTTAATGTTACCACTACTGCCAATTTACATCAATGGTAAGGCACAATCGTAGCAACAGAAACTATCATGGTTGTTGTCATTAAGTGACGACTGTGACAATATAACAATGGTAATAATTATAAATAAAAAAGAAATGATGTTGACAATGCGGCAGTAGCAGCAGCAGCGTTAGCGGCAAGCTCGGCAACAGTATACAGTCCATAGCTAATTCATATCTTCTTTACCAAAAAAAGTAATATCCTGAGGCAAAAAATAATAAAAAGAGAAGGCAGTGATAATGTAGTAATATCAAAATTTATAACTAGCAGCGTATAAAAAAATAGAGGTGTGAACTGTGAACACAAAATGTATTATTGAGTGGTCCACTATGGTATATATGGTTTTAATAACCCACGCAGCAGTGGAAGTATACGTAACACTGCACACGTCAGACTTGCACACAGAGATGACAAATGGTTTACTGTGATGCTGACAAGATGAAAAGAAAAGGAACTGAATCACTTCAACCGATCAGTTTCAGAATTGAATTTTTTAACAAAATAATATTTTTTAAAAGAAAAATTACAAGATTAACAACTGAGCAAGTTTATTTATCACACTAGAATCATTTACTGTACATTTACTACAATTGAATCACATGCACCACAAGTTTCACCTTCACGTTCACCTTACAAAATTTATCAAAGTTACCACAGTTGAATCACATGCAGAGAGAATCTCTGGGCCAAATGGTTTAGTGTTCTGGTAACTTAGATAAATTTCGTAAGGTGAACGTGAAGGTGAAACTTGTGGTGCATGTGATTCAACTATAGTAAATATAGCATATAATTCAATAACTGATTGAAGTTGATTAGAATCGTGAACATTGAAAAGTGTCTCAACTTCTTCATCATCCGTCAACTCAACAGTCAACACAGGTATAGTTACTAACCCCTGGGCCAAGTCTAATAGGGTACCGAAAATGTATGCTAGCCACCCTCTCAGAATCTTGTCGATGTAGCTTTGTATGGATGACTCTTTGAAGCCTTTCTAGAGTAATTCCTCTCTTGATACGAACTAATTTTGCAGATGGAGAGGAGAAGGTGATTCCTTCATTCGGACATTGGTTAATGGAACCATCAGAATGAACAATAACGTAGATTGAAGAAGCCATTTTATGAAAGGTTTAAAGGAAAAGAACGTGATTCTAAGAAAGTAATTCAAAAGGGGTAGACGGAAGGAATAAAGGAGAGAAGGTAAGCTGAAATCGCATGAAAAAAATGAAGGGGAGAGGGCCTATTTATAGGAAAACCAGCGTTTTTACTGTTTGCCCAGAACGGGCCGTTCCAAAACCAGAACGGCCCGTTCCAAAACACATTTTATTTCGTTAAAACAGCTCCTGGAACAGGCCGTTCCAAGGCTATTCCACGTTCAAAAAAATGTGCAAATTTCTATTTTGGAACGGGTTGTTCTAAAACAAGAACGGCCCGTTCCAGGTTAAAAAAAATAACTAAAAAAATTCTTTAAAACGGGTCGTTTCATGAGTCTATTTTTTCGTTAATTCTTAATTTTTCTGAGCATGTACAATAAATAGTTCTAGCGAGGTAAATAAACCTGCAAGTTATTAATCCCGTAATTTTTCTTTTAAAAAATATTATTTTGGTAAAAAATTCTTCAGAATTCGGACTCTTAATTTAACCATAAAGTTTACATCAACATCACTGGCCCCAACCCCAACATCAATCTCTGAGTCACCATCATGACCCCTCCTAGAGTCAATAACAGTATCCGTGAAATTCAATTTGTTCATCAAGAGGGTGGACATGCAAATCTACCTTGTCTCATGAACAACACAAGAATGCAGCTGCATACAGATCAAAAGTCTAGCTATAACAAGTGGTACATGCGGCTTCTGGTGGTTAATTATATGTGTCTCTTTGTGGGGTCACTTTCTTCTAGTTTGTTATCTAAATACTATTTCATTCACAAAGGCTCAAGCAAATGGGTCTCAACTTGGGTTCAAACTCTTGGCTTTCCTCTCTTGACGATCCCAATTTTTCTCCCTTATCTCCTTAAATTCACTAAGAGGATCCCCTTCTCTGATTTCACTCCAAAGATGTTACTCATGTCTGTTTCAATAGGTGTTATGCTAGGATTTAACAATCTTTTCTTCTCATGGGGAAATTCATATCTTCCGGTTTCAACCTCAGCCCTTCTGCTATCTTCCCAACTGATTTTCAACCTTCTTTTCTCTGTCATCATTGTGAAACAGAAAATAACATTCTCAAACGTTAACTGTGTCATCCTTCTCACCTTAAGCTCCATCCTCCTAGCTTTAGACTCTAGCCAAGAGAGGCCACAAGGGATAACTAAAAAGAACTACTTCATTGGATTCTTTTGCACCATTGGTGCAGGCTTGATGTTTGCCTTGTATTTGCCAGTGATGCAGAGGGTTTACGAGAAGGTTTATTGCTATGGAGTGGTGATGGAAATGCAGGTTATCATGGAGGCTGCAGCAACAGCATTGGCCACAGTTGGAATGGCATGCGAGGGTGGATTCTCCAAGATGAAGGAAGAGAGCCAAACGGTGTTTGATAAGGGTTCAAAAGTTTATTGGGTGACTGTGATGGGAAATGTGGTGACGTGGCAGCTGTGTTTTATGGGAACTGCAGGAATGGTGTTCTTGACATGTTCATTGACAGGGGGGATTTGCATGACAGCGTTGTTGTCCATGAATGTGTTGGGAGGGGTTGTAGTCTTCGGAGACAACTTTGGTGGTTTCAAAGCTGTGTCCACTCTTCTCTGCATTTGGGGCTTCTGCTCTTATGTTTATGGCATCTACAAGTTCAAACACACGGTGGAAGTGGAACAACACATATCTCCTACCAGGAACAGTAGTAATGGTTCATCCACAGAGATGATCCACATCCTGGAACGTGGTGCAACTTATTGAACTATGCATTTGCAACTATATGGTATAGTTTATAGTGTCATCTTTGTCTAATATGTAATTTAGCTAGATTGACCGAGACTGCCAATTGTTAATTATATATGTGTGTGCCAGAATAATATCATCGAGATTCTTCTTAAGCTTGTTACATCTATTATAGCTTTACGTAATCTTAAATTCTTTTTCCCCTCTTTTACACTAAAGACCAAAATCACATTGAGTGATTGGTATTCTTTAGACAAGTGAATTGATAGTACTGCAATGGGATAATGTAGGCCAATTCAATTAGTGTTGGGCACGATTTGAAAGCATCAAAATAAGGGTTATGTGTAGTTGACTGCTACAAGGTGGTGACTAAGCAAAATTGCTATACTCCAATTAATTAATAACTCAATAGTTAACTGGAGAAAGAACATAATAATTAAGCTCTTTTGTTAAGTACAAGTGAGGGATGGGGTGGTATTATTGTCTGGATGGGAAACAGGGAATTGAAAATGCAAGATTATATTCCTTCCTTGTTGAAGCACACATAAAAGAATTTGTAAGCCTTTGTTGATTAATTAACAATTTAACATCCATCTGCTAAGGACTAGCCTTGTCTCTCCATAGATTCTGAAATCACTTTCACCAGTAGATTTTGTAAAGATAGATTTTCAACTAGACGCATAAGATACGACCTTTCCTTCTTGCATTAACACTCCAACCAAACCCATCTTAGAAGCATCACAATAAACCACAAAAGTCTTACTAAGGTCAGGCAACACTAAAACAGGTGCACTAGTCAACTTCTCCTTAAGGGCTTGGAAACTATTCTCACATTTACTATCTCATACAAACACAACTCCTTTCCTAGTTAAACTTGTCAAGGGTAATGCTAACTTAGACAATTCCTCTATGAATCTTCTATAGTATCCGGCCAATCCAAGGAAGCTTCTAATCTCACTAACTGACTTAGGTGTCTCCCACTAAAGCACTGCCTCAACTTTAGATGGATCTATTGCTATACCCCTACATGAAATCACATGCCCTAAGAAACTCACCTCCTCTAGCCAAAAGTCACACTTAGACAACTTGGCATAAAACTGTTTAGCATCCTCAACTATAATTTGATGATATCACATCCTAAGGTCAATCTTATTAAATACACAAACACCCACTAATTGATATATAAGATCATCTATCCTCATATCAATATACATGCATATCAAATCATATTAAAACACCTAATTCAAACATTCATGTATATACTATACCTAATCATGTCTGACTCCTAGGCTTCTCTAATCTCATCCATTAATTCACTAGTCACTTTCAACATAATCAATTCAATGCTCCTAAGGATAATCTCACACACCAAGCATAAGTCTATAAATTCTTCAATCAAATCCAACCCTTAAATCATAAAAAATGATATATCAGAGGTCATCATAATCAAGGCATCTGCCACAATATTGGTTTTACTTCTATGATCATCTCTAAAGATCAAGCACCTAAGCGTAAGTTCACTAGGTATACATATCAGATCTCTAATTTCACCACTCCATCTACTCCCAAGTCAAACTCTTATCCATCACCTTATCCTATCTTGTCACCAAAATGAATCAACTAATTATGCTTCTCTAATTTCCTTCAACAATCCATTCGTTACTCAAGTCATACTTAGTCTCAAACTACTAAGGGTAACCTTATAAGCCAAACTTAAATCTCTAATTGAGCCAAAAAGATTCATCTCTCTAATCATAAGGGAAGACAATTGCAAAGATTTCCTACTTAAAGCATCAGCCACCACATTGGCTTTTCCCGGATGATAACTAAGATCAACATCATAGTCCTTAAGGAACTCTAACCATCTCCTTTGCCTCATATTTAATTCCTTTTTGTCAAATAAATACCTAAGACTCTTCTGATTACTAAACACTTCAAATTTTGAACCATACAAATAATGTCTCCAAATCTTAAGTGTGAATACTACAGCTGCTAATTCAAGATCATGAGTGGGGTAATTCTTCTCATGTATTTTCAATTGCCTAGACGCATAAGATACGACCTTTCCTTCTTGCATTAACACTCCAACCAAACCCATCTTAGAAGCATCACAATAAACCACAAAAGTCTTACTAAGGTCAGGCAACACTAAAACAGGTGCACTAGTCAACTTCTCCTTAAGGGCTTGGAAACTATTCTCACATTTACTATCTCATACAAACACAACTCCTTTCCTAGTTAAACTTGTCAAGGGTAATGCTAACTTAGACAATTCCTCTATGAATCTTCTATAGTATCCGGCCAATCCAAGGAAGCTTCTAATCTCACTAACTGACTTAGGTGTCTCCCACTAAAGCACTGCCTCAACTTTAGATGGATCTATTGCTATACCCCTACATGAAATCACATGCCCTAAGAAACTCACCTCCTCTAGCCAAAAGTCACACTTAGACAACTTGGCATAAAACTGTTTAGCATCCTCAACTATAATTTGATGATATCACATCCTAAGGTCAATCTTATTAAATACACAAACACCCACTAATTGATATATAAGATCATCTATCCTCATATCAATATACATGCATATCAAATCATATTAAAACACCTAATTCAAACATTCATGTATATACTATACCTAATCATGTACGAATCCATCATCGTTTACTCCACTTTCAATTTATTATATTTATTCTACATTATTATTAATTTCTTATTTATTTTTTTTTCTTTGCTTAGTGTCGCTATGAGCTACATAATTTTTTTAAGTTCATCAGCTGTGGTGGGTCAGCTGATAGCGACACTGATCCAGCCCAACCAAACAAAAAAAAAAAAAAAACCACGTGTCATGGGTGTCGCTATGGACCATAACGACACCCATGAAAACTACCCCCAAAAATATAAAATGTTTCAAAACAACCCCATTTTAATAATAAGTTTCTAAAGCTGCCCCACAATGGTCGTTTAGCCTTTTCAACGGCCTGGAAACATGGTCACTTATAATATTGTGGGAAAAGCTCTCAATATAAGAGACAAAAGCCAAAAATTCCTGGTGAATAGTTTATTTATTTAAATATGTTGTGACAACGTCATTTCAATTCTTGGTTATATGTATATGAAAATTTATGGCTATAAAAACAAATGAGCAACCATAATGATGCCGATGCACCTGAGATGCTGTAATGTCAGTCACAATCGAAGGGATAAAAGGACTCTGAAACTTGGACCAAAACAAAGCACAAAATAAGCACCAAAATGATGTTAAAGGGATCAAGTTTGACTCCGAAATTTTGCCCAAAATAAGCGCACCAAAATGATGCTAATGTCAGGTGAAGAAGTTTCTCTGTTTAGATAATACGTCCATTTTTTTTTATAACACGTATTAACATATTAAAAAATGTAATAATTTTTTATTTTTTTTATAGAATATTTTAATATTTTTTATTATATTCTCTTTATTTTTAAAATAAATATATATTAATTATTATATATAAATTAACTAAAAATAGATAATAAGTAAAAATATAATTAATAACATAACAATTAATATTATCTTAAAACTTGAAAATGACAAAGAAATAAAAATAAAAATTGAGATTACCATACATTGCACCTAGAACTAGAAGCCTAAAACAAGGAACGCTGCAAGACCCGATGACAAAACGCCTCCACTTCCTTTAAAAGCATTGACACGCTTTCCGGAAACAGCAAATTTTGCAATTTTCTTCATTTTCTCTAAAATAGAAATTGGGTTTATACTTGGGAATGAAATAAAATGTCCACCAACCGAACCATTAAGATGGGTCTATTACTCTATTTGAATGTACATTGTCCTAGATTCGTCGTGGTAATTGTAATTTATCCTTTTCCTTAATTTGTGTGCCACTGTTATGTCATATGTGTCTATGCTACATAAATTTTAGTGTATTTTTTTACCGCAACTTCTCAATATTCAAATATTTCATTTACCCTGTATTTGTTTTAAGCCAAATAACAACGAAATATAATATAAAAATAAAAAATAGTTCAACAAAAAATATTTTCACAGATTTAATCACGAGAAAAAAATATTGGAACAGAAATAATTTTTGTAGGTAGCTATCATCAATGAGTCATGCCAATTAACTTTCACATACTCAAATTTGTAAAACCCAATTATAAAATGAGAATCGTTTCTCATTTTGAAGATTTAGAAATCTCGAGTGTGAAAAAATAGAAATGTATGAATTATTCTTTATCTATATATCTAATCATGGTGGATCTTAGTAGTCGATGTGGATATCTAATGAGATTGTAAGATATTCGATACAAGAAATTAATCTTCAAATGGTTTGATTACAAATCTTGTGTGCTTTAATACTTGTCAGAGTCATCACCGTTTCGCACCGATTGCTTTGATATCTCAATTGGACAAAACCTACACAACAAAAGATCGATGACAGAAAGATAGGGATATACACAAATTTAAAGTAAGGTGGAGAGAAAGAAAAAAAAGAAACAAAAGAATTAAAAGTTATTTAATATTTCTTGTCTACGACTATGAAAACGCCTCAATAAAGTTGCACCATTTCATATAAATTACATACATTTTAACCCTCTTTCTTTTTGACAAGAACTTAAAAAAAAAAAAAGAAGAAAGAAATCCTCATATAACGTATGAACAGATATTTAGAAAAACGTTATATTTGCAAACACTAAAAACAAAAAGTCGTACAAATCTTCTATCAAGTTTTATTGTTATTTTGTGCAAGTTTTCTTTTTATTACAAATTATATATTATATATAATTATAAAAGATACGTTTAAACTTGTGAAAACTGAACACATAGCTAGTTTTATATGTAATTTTTATTATTATTTCATGTTATCTTATTTTATCATTTTAAAAATTTAGAAAAGAGTAAAAAAAAGTGCAAAAAAAATGACAAAAAAGCCAAAAGTAGAAGAACTTGAGTTCAATATATTTTATTTAATCTTTCGTTAAAAAAAATAACAAACAAAAAAAGACTGATAAAAAAAATAAAAAGAGAAAAAGGAAAAGGAAAATGACTAAAACAATTGTCAACCTTTTGGAGAATATAATCCTCCTTGTACGTTCTTTGGAGAATATAATCCTCCTTGTACGTTGTTGGATAACACCTATGCTTGTAACTC